AAAATATAAAAATTATTAACTTTAAATATAAAATATACTTTAATTTTAGTAAAATTAAAGTTATTAAGAAATAAAGACTTACTTTTTATAATTCTTAAATTTATTTTACGGATTTTATAGTATTAATAAAGGAATTATAATTAAAATTAAATTAGTTAATTAGCTATTAAAAGAGATAAATGCTATAACTAGCATAAAAAAAACGGGGTTACGTGATCACTTGTATAGGATTAGCAATATGCTTGTATGGGAATAGCATGACTCTTCATTATTCTCTCTCATCCTCCAGTGACCAACCTTGTTATTTCATGCAATGGGGCTATCTACACGTTGGTTTCGGGGGATTGAGCCTGGCGAGGAACCGGAGTTATGAAGAAGTCAGTGTCTTTTCGTGAGAAAAGCCATTATTCGGGATGAACCTTGGCGCAAATTGTGACCGTGCCTTGCTTGGGAGATCGGATACGTTCCAACGATACGGTTCAGGGGGTGTGACATACGGATACTTCCAAGCCTCATCTGGCTGTCTTGCCTTACATACATGACAATTGCGCAATAAACCAGCCACACGGAATGTTTTCGAGTTTTCGAGTTGAGGGTTATCACCTGCGGCGAGGGTTGACGGACTGTCTCAGTCCCTAAAGCTGTAAGGAGTATTGGACTGGCATGAGTTGAAGATATGTCTAATGGAATGGCACCGAAAGCAAGGATGAACTGTTCTTCCTCTCCTATGCGCCTCGTTCGTCTTGGATGTGATATCTTCGGGGTGGCTTGCAGTTCTGTCAGATGGCTGTTGTATTTGCCCCGAATACGCGCTGAAGTGTGGGTGGTCATGCCAAACATTGGACAAATGAAGGCAGAGAGCTAGGAACAATTTCAAGTCTCCATTGTTACAAGCTATGCTAGCCCGAGGCGCCTTGCGTTTCTCCTTGAGATCCCAAACAGAGCCGGCATGATTCACTTCTTGGTACGGAGTAAGAGTCTAGAGATCGATCCGAGGCTTGCTTTGTGTCACCCGCCAAGCAGTTTGGTCAGTGCTTCTTATTATTTGGCGGGCGGTTAACGCTGTTGGTCCTGACAGGGTTCTAATGAGACGGACGAGTGAGTGATATCAGATGGATCTTCGGAGTCCGGACCACTTGAGATGGCCAGATTGTACCTGCATAACGCAGATAGAATGGATATCGACTGATGAGGGTGGGACACGTGCATCTGTGCTTTTATTGACCATACCTTCTGTTTTTGGACATATCAGAGCATAAGCGAGACGTGTAGTGATTGACGACAAGTTCCATGTGAAACGTGCAGGGCAATCACTTGCGAGAATACTCCGTATGGCGATTAACAATCAACAACAATGTCTGCCATTAGTATAGGTATCAACATCCTGAGGTAGAAACTGGTGGTTCTCAGCTCATTCACTCCATTCCATCCAGAACACGGCCCCATCTTTTCTTTTCCTAGCTTGTCCAGGCTGTGTGCCTTTACCTGCACCTCAGAAATCTTCCGACCGCTCACCCTTCATGACCAGACAAGAATGGTTAGGCTCGGCTACGTTCCCCCTTCCCACGCTGGAATCCCTGGAATGGGTTGTTTGACCGTGCTGTATCCGGAAAAGTGCTGCGAATCATTGGGAGCTAGGATCAGACGTGACAATAGCCACTGCGGCTCTGATTGGAACACCGTCACTAAGGCTTCTAGGGGCCCTTGCCCTTGTGATTGCTTTAGAAAAGAACCCACTTGTCTTTAAGGCCACTTACAGGCTGTAGTGGTCTTTTGACGGCTAGGTCGGTAATGATTTCCAGAACAAAACACGTTAACAAAGTCATTAAGAGGTGATGTCAAGTATGTGAACAAATATAGCAGCCACTCTGGTTGAGGCCATATAGTGTCACAAGATCAAACTACAAAACGAAGGGATTTCAAGTTGAAGAGCGACCCGTACATACCTACCTTAGGTTTGAACTTTGAATAGGCAAACGTCTAAAGCTCCCTTGCATCCGGGATGCTGGACCCCAAACCCTTGAGGAAGCTTACAATAAGAGACCCCTGGCTGAATTGCCGCGTGAACCCAAGCTTTGGCACTAAATCGTAATGTTATTGTCCACGGGACGGGAGAGTAAAATCTCACAACGTCCCGCCGTCCGTGTCAGTTTGCGTACCAGTCGTGTTGCAGCCTGAACCAACTATTTTGAGTATTTCGTATGGAAGGTGGCTAGGTGGTTTGGATTCTAGATCTTCCAGCCCCCGTTTCAAATGAAACGACGACTGTTCCTCGAGGCTCTTGTTGGACTTGTTTAGTTTTAGACCTATAGTGATGTCCACCAGAGTCTCTGCTCTGAAGCATCAGGACGATGGCAAAACCAATATCGACCCCCGCAGCAGCCGCCGCTCTTTATCAATGGAACCGAGTCAGTCCCAGTAATTGAACCCTGACACAATCTACTGGATTGGAGACTGGCATCATCCACAGTCACAAAGTGGACGCTTGGGTGGCGTCTTCTAGTGAGGTACGGAGTGTCGATTTCGAGTGGGCAGGGCGGAAGTCTCGCGTGCTTCGTTTGCTATTAGTGGCCTTTAGTGGGGGAGCCGGAGAGTCACCCCTTATCACACTGATTCTCTTTATCCGGCATACTTAGTTACATCGAAACATCCATTTGTATATATGGTGGCAATATCTGCTTGTGTTCGTATTGCAGATAATCCGTACAGTTGGTTAATTACCTGACAGACCCAGCATCTAGATATGATATGTATGATAAGCGCCTTGAGTTCTGTGTACGTAGAGTCTGTGCGAGGTGCAAGGGCACCCATCATCTTGTGTTAAGGTAAAGGGGTCCCTTGATCCTTGTATCTCCAAGGATATGTATGTAGTCCTCAGGGTCGGAGACACCTCCGTGCACCTGGCCAAAGCCTTTACGGATAGAAAGTGGGCAAACGACCCCATCGTGTCAGTATCAGTAGCGCTGGATGTTGGTTTACCTGACTCGATTTTGCGTGTAGAAACAAGAGTATTTACTCAAACTGAACCAAATATGTTAAGCTAGAGTGAACATCGTGTAGCTGGTGCTAAGCTTGGTTATTAGGTGCTTTTCAGGTCACTGATTCAAGTAAGCAGATAATCACGACCGTTCCCCGCCGTTTTTCCCGCCCCCCTTTCCATATTAGGATTTACGAGGGGCGGCACCTCACTTTTCGTCGATAGTAGGCCATCAAATCAGCAAATCTCCCCCTCAAATCATTTCTCAATATTCATTAGTACCTGTACCTCCTTTTACCTCTTTGCATTACTCGGTTCCCTTGCTTTCTTTCTTGTTAATAGTAATTATTGGAACGCGCCGGCGCATACACGTTCGAGCGAGTACCGCATTCGCTTGTTAATTTGCTTGCCCGAACAGTCTCTCTCCACAAACGACAATTCCCTACCGGCAGCCGCCATCGCTCCATTCCCAAGGCAAGGTATATTGTCTCGTTGTACAGGGCAGCCCAGCATCCACCTTTTTTTTTTGCAGCTTTTGCGACGGCTTTCCAGGCTTCCCAGTCGTTCGCTTCAAATCTCTACCACGTCTCCCCAGTTAAACGACGCTCCACACCTACCGAAAACACTCTTACTGCCAGCTGTATTATACCCGTATCCATCCTCTGCTGCCGTTTGCTTGTGCTGTTCTTCATACTAGACGCTGCTGTACCGTCTCACGCTGGCTTGTACTCCGCTGTAACGCGGTTACAGCTGCATGTAACGTTGGGGCTCGGACTGTTCCCACCGCAGCAACCGGCATCTCGAAACGCCTCACTTACCTCACATCAGCACTTCACGCCTTGTACAGTACGCTGCGACACCTGCAACCCATTGGCTGATGCCTTCCAGTGCATGACACCGCAAGGGAGCCCAGTGCACCATGCCACAGCTTGCGCTCCAGAGTGCAGAAGCGTCTGCTGCCTCTACTGCCTCCAGATCCAACTCAATCACCACTCCAGTAGAAGCGACTTCATCATCCGATCAAATCCGCTTTAACAGGGCTCGACCTCCCTACGAAGTCCTCGTTGACGATAGTCCTACGGTTGGTCGCATCATTCGTCCGAGTCCAAGTGTCCCATCCCTTGGTCCATTGTCCTTGTCGAGTCCACGGTAAGCATACATATAATGTACCTGTCTTCTCATCCCAACTCCAAGCTATCTGTGGTTGCTTGCTCTTGGGTCACCTTCACACACCCCTGGCCATCTGCCCCGGGCTTCTTCTTGGCCTTCTGTCTCTCACAATCTCTCCCCTCCACACTTCTTTGCTACTTGGCCGTTCTTTTAACCAGCAATTATCTCTCTTACTCGCCCCGGGTTGAACGTTGTGCGACGTCTCCATTGTACTTTCGTGCTATCACCATTTCCTCCCCCCCAACCCGGGACCATATTGCGCTCTGCCGTGGAACCTTTAATGCGCCACCTCTAACACACTGCGATCTCTAGATCCCCACGACCAGCTATCTCAAGTCCACTCGCGACCTCTGCCAACTTCACTTACGGACAAGCAAGTCCCAGTCCGCGAACCGCCGCTTTCCCGACTCGGCTTACCCCAACGCCGACACATCGAGCTAATCAAGAACTTGAGAACAAATCGAGTCTTGTTAAGCAGACCTCATTCTATAGCGATTCCTCAGACGAAGGATCCCCAGAACCTCACAGCCCTAGGTTTGTCTATTATAAGTGGTTATTGGGCGCAATCACCACGACTATCCAGGCGTTGCCGCTGTAGACTAACATTCTAATAGACAGGGCTATGCAGGCAGTACGAATGTTTTGCGAGCCGTCTCCGAGCCCATAACTTCAAAGCCTGTTCCAGGCTCTGACTTATCTAAAAAACCGGCCATGGCGGGTCCGGTCTCCGTGGCCCAGGCTGAAGCTTCGAAAGGAGTCGCCCGGAACTCGTCTATCGACTCGGCGATTTCAGCAATATCCACCAAATCAGGCACAACTGGGAGTCAAGATGGTCCACATGGACCTTCAGAGATTGCCCATCTTATTAAGACAGCAGGCAGCCCCGAGACCCTTATCCAGTACTTGCTGAAAGAGAAGCACTCCCAGTCACAGCAGAACAGCCAGTTATGGCGTCTAGTGGACAAGCAACGGGCCATGATTCTCGGCCTTAACAAGGACTTGGAAAGGGCTTTGAAGGATAAGGAAAAGTATAGGAAGAAGCTAAAAGAAGTCATTTCGCTTTCCTCTGCTTCGGTATCACCTCAAGAGAATACCCAAGAAGCTGTTGAAGTGCCTGTGCCTTCGCTTCCTCGAGTTGATATTGAACGAGCTAAGGAACAAACCGCACCAGAGTCACCGGTCCTCGAAGCCGAAAGTCCTCGAAATTCACCGATCGATATTACCATAGCGCCTTATCCTATTACTCCTCCAGCAGATCAGCCCAGCGCACCACATTCAGCAGTGGGCGAACTCTTGAACCCTGCACATGCTATGCCCAAACCGCAAGACCACGCTTTAGACAAGTACGATCACGAGGCTGAAGAACGGGCCGCCGAGGAGGCAAGGAAGGAGAAGGTTGATGAGCCTCTGAAAGAGATTCCTTACAATGTCGCCATCCCTCCATCGCGGAGCCTCCCCAGTGAACCGCCCAAAATGCCACCGCCGAAGCCGCCAGTAAACCACCTTCCTACAGTCGCGGTTCTCGAGGCTACTCCCCAACCTGACGAAGGACTATCCAAGTTTCCGGTGCCGCCACCGAGGAAGCCACCTCCAGCACCCCTGAAGTTGAAGCAAGAAATGAGGACGCAGTTGAGCCCATCTCCGGAGGATGGAGAGACTGAGTCCGACTTTGATGATATACTGGAAGTAGATGAAATTGTTCACGATCGACGAGGTCGGCGAAGAACCCGAGAAGAAGACGATCGAGACCGAGAGATTATTGCTTTCAAGGAGGCGGCTGCGCGCAGTGCATCTAAAAAGAGCAAGTCAAGCAGGTCCAGTCAACCTGGATCTCCTATTCAAATGCCCCAGGCCCCTGCACAGGAGCTCGCTACAGCCTCACTCGGTGAAATGCTCAGCGCAACAAAGACAAGGGAAATCCCTGCGCCATTGTTAAGTCCCGGTCTCCCTGCAAGTCCTCGGCCTTCAAACTTCAGCTCGCCTCCTTTGTCTCCAAGGTCGATGAATTTTCAGGCTGCGCCATTGTCCCCACGACCACCTCGTCAACCAATTCCATTACCACCAAACACCCCTTTAGCAACTCCGGCCCCAATCCCAGCTCGAGCAACTGGCAAAAGCATCGTCTCTGAAGAAACTTCGGTATCGCAGAAAAGTCGCACCGTACAGCAAGAACCCATCAGCCATCCTGATCAACCATCCATCAGAATGTCAAGCCCTAGCGAGCGTACAGAAATCTTCAAAGGCCTGGTCACAGAAGAATATCCAGACCTTCTGCTCCCGCCCAATGCTCTGCCCTCTATTAAAATTGCAGTTGCATCATCACGCATGAAACCATCTCGAGCAAGTATGATGTCTCTCACACAACTCGAAGAAGACCCGGTGTTTACTCTCGCTATCATCTCGCGATCGGACAATGGCGAGCTTTGGAGAGTGGAGAAAGACTTGGCTTCGTTGACAAAACTTGATCAAAGGCTCAAGCAATGTACATCCTACACAGTCAGAGCTCCAGAACGTTCGCTGTTCAGTGGTCATGCGCCGGCCAAGCTCGATGCCCGTAGGACGGTCCTGGAGCAGTTCATGGATGACATTTTGGACATTCCTTTCGACACCAAAACAGCTGTCGAACTTTGCAAATATTTGTCAACTCATGTTCTCCCACCAAATCTAGACGACTCGGTATCAATTGGTGATTCGAGCTCTGAAATGAATGGCAACAAGATCGGGCCCGACGGGCGACCTTGTCGCAGTGGTTATCTAACAAAGAAAGGCAAGAATTTCGGTGGCTGGAAAGCAAGGTATTTTGTTCTCAATGGGCCTCTACTAAAGTACTTTGAAGTGCCTGGAGGTGCTCACTTAGGCACAATTAAGCTACAGGGGGCGCAGATTGGCAAGCAGAATCAGAATAACGACAACCAGTCACCAGCGCATGTAGCAAACGGTGATGACCTGGATAACCAATTCCGTCATGCTTTCCTCATCCTGGAACCGAAGAAGAAGGACACGAGCAGCCACTTCAGACATGTTCTTTGTGCCGAAAGTGATAGGGAACGGGATCTCTGGGTGGATGCTCTCCTCCAATGGGTTGATTATCGTGATCCTGAAGATTCTGAACCTCCACCATCCCGGGGTGGACCTGTTCAGGATCGCCAAACTCAAGGTACAGCCACAGCCACAGCCACAGCCACAGCCACAGAGCGTCCCTCTGCAGGCAAAGTTCGAAAACCCCCTGGGAAGCCATACCATCATCCCTCGGATTCGGATACATTAGTTGGCGTCCGGTACGATTCCACTCAAGCAGGAGATGCCCCCCAAGTTTCTGGGCCTGCTCGACCCAAGACTTCAGGTGGCATGCCTGACCAACATCACAGCCATGGGTTTGATAGCTTTTCCTCATCTCAGAGTAAGATCATTTCTGGACCCAAGGATCCACAGCCTATATCCGACTTGGGTGCTTGGGGAAACAAACCGAACTATGGCCCGACGCCTGATGAAAAGAAACAGAGAAAGCGAAGTTTCTTTGGGTTTGGACCCAAGACCAGGTCTTCATCAGAGGGTCAAGATTCCTTGTTTGGTGGTAGCGATGTTGGTGCGAATGCAACCCCACCACAGAACTCTTACCAAGGCCCTGTGCGACAAGCCTTTGGAGCACCGCTTGCGGAAGCTGTTCGATTTTGTTCTCCTACAGATGTCAATGTACCGCTCCCTGCCGTCGTTTACAGATGCATCCAGTATTTGGATTCCAAGAATGCTGTGCTTGAGGAAGGAATCTTTCGACTCAGTGGATCCAACGTGGTTATTAAGCAACTTCGAGAACGGTTCAATGTCGAAGGGGATATCAACTTGTTGACTGACCGTCAATACTATGATATTCATGCTGTGGCCTCGCTGCTGAAACTGTATTTGCGAGAACTACCAACAACAATATTGACAAGGGATTTGCACATGGAGTTTTTAACAACGATGGAGATTGTGGACCATGCCGAAAAGATGACTGCTTTGGGTGAGCTGGTTCACCGGCTCCCTCAAGCTAATGCCACCCTGCTCAAGTATCTGATTGGCTTCCTGATCAAGATTATCAACAACGCGGACATGAATAAGATGACTGTTCGCAACGTTGGCATTGTCTTTTCACCAACCCTAAACATACCTGCACCGGTCTTCGCCATGTTCCTCCAAAACTACGAGGGAATCTTCGGTGTCGATCCTGAGGTTTATGAGCTTCCTTCACCTATTTCTGAACCCGAGTTGCAGCGCTTTGAAGCACCGCCGCGATTCGATCTACCTGCTCGCCCATCAACGTCTGGTAGCTCATCTCCTCACGGGCAGATGCGGAAGGATAATATTCGAGAACTACAGCGATCTACTCCGACTCCTCCGCTTCTCGTCAACAATGCTCCAGTGCGAGCCTCACCTCCTTCAAGCGCTACTAGGCCTGGTTACGAATCTCCAGCTGGCGCTTACGATATGGGTTACCGACCACCTTCAGCCAACGAAGGACGCGGTGCCTACGACCGACGTTTCTTGCAAGCTTCACATGAGGATCTCGCCAGCGCCTCCGCAGCATACGATCAAAGCTTTGTACCCAGCAGCAGACGCCGTGAGAGTGCCATCTTCATGGGTGGCATGATGGGTCCCCACCATCAGGGATCCAAGAGTCGCTTGCGAGAAGAAACGCGATTCTAAACTGTATATGTGCTTGGTTTTCTATGTGTTTTGCTATTGCTACATACCCACTCGTTTCAACATGCGATGATACCATACATACCTTACCATATTATTTCATAACGACTTACACTATTAATACCTTGCATGTCGGAGTTTGATCAATGGTCATTTGAGGAGGAACACTTTTGTTTTGGATTGACTGACACTATGAGGAGATTGAGCGTTGTCACAAAGTGCCCAAGAGAAGACCAAGGTTAGGGGCATATGCTGATATAACCATGTGGAAAAGTCAGTGAAGAACTTCAATGACTGTAACTGGAGTGAATGTCATCGATCTGATCTTGATGATGGGCGGGGCCGCTTTCTACTTAGCATGGCGTTGTGGATAGTTTTTGAGTCAAGAAGATCCTGACATAGTCCAGACCTGAAAGGATCGGCTTGTCGTAGGTCTTCTGTCTTGTGACAAATATTTGAATTCATTTTGTGATTTTGTTGCCCAACTGTCTATTTAGATGTGTTTCTGGCTTTCGCAACACACCTCTTGCTGGTGCACTGCTGATTTGAAGTCGAGTCCCATGTGTGATCTCATCGCCCATGAGCTATGAAGCAGATGATCTATGTTCCAGTAGATGTGCTACCCACCTGGCTTGAGGGAGATTTTTTTGAAATCTTGTGACAATTAAGGATAATTCTGGCAATCTCAATGCATTGATGGTCCTCAGACTCTTCTAATATTATTTCATGCTTCAGTATTCCGTTTGGGCCCTTTACCTGTGAGTTCAACGGTTACCTACTAAGTCAGCCCTCAGAGAGCAAAAAAACATAAGACCTGATATAATGTGTTAAAATAAACTTGGCAAAAGGTATACTAAACTTATACTAAATGTATACTAAATTTATATACGGTCGAAGTCCTGCAGCCAGGTATTCAATCGTAGAACCGTTTGAGCATAAATATAAGTCATGAGGTGCATGGCCAGACAGCCATATGTGTGTGGTCAAACTGTCATCTCAGTTACTTCAGACTATGCCGCCTCTATTGCATCTTGACAATATACTCGCCTACAAAAGGCATGATGAAGTCCTTCTTTCCCAAAGGCACACCCTCCTTCCTCAGAATAGCATAAGCCATTGACAGGTGGAAGTTGATATTAGGGACAGCCGCTCCCATGGCAAATGCTTTTCCGGGCAGATCCATTGTTCCTGCCGATGGCAATGCTGTCGGGGCAACCTCCTCTCCCTGCTGATTCACGACGTCTTTATCGGCCTTCCCAAGCAACTGTTGGGCCTTTTGAATACGCGAGTGCATATCCTGAAATGTGACGAGTTTGTCTTCAAACTCGACAGACTCCCTTCCAGAGAGCCTCGCGACTAATTTCTCGGCGAATCGAGTGGCTGCATGTACCTGGAAGCTCAACGGGTTCATGTCTTCGTGGAGTCGTGCATCTGGGAAGCTGGCTGCATTGCTATGCTTCTCCGCTTCGGTGAGAATATGATCTAGTGATGCTAGAGCTAGCTTGGCCTCGATGATAGTCGCATCGTAAAGCGTGAAAGTCATGGTTAAAGCTGTAGAAGAAGAGGACTGAGACTTGAGAGAGAGGAGTCAAGGACAGGCAAACTGCAAAAGGAAAGCGGGAACGAATGAGATCTACAAAAACAAAAAACAGGCATAAATGCCTCGCTCTTTCTTTCTAGGATTTACGGTGAATTGTTGATCCAATAGACAGGCTAATGGGCCGGCAGGCAAGTGGACTGCCTACCAGCATTGGACCTACCTTACCTAGGTACTTATGCAGAGCACTTGTGGTCATCCAATTCATAGTATTATACTGGTAGGACCTTGGACAAGGTATTTCTTGTGGCTCCTTTATGCTGTCTTTCAGAGTTTATTGAAGAGTCTTGCTCGAGTTATGCAATATATACGTAACCGTTGCGATAGAGGAGTGAGCCCAATTGAGAGCAGATCGTTGTAAACTTTATATAAAATTTGATGTACGGAGTAGTTGAAGGGAATATGATGAAAGCGATCACACCGCAGGATGGCCCGGAGATATGGACAAAAGGCTCCGACTTTTGCTGACTCATTCACAACCTCTTCTCGGAAGCGTCGGAGTCGGCGATAACCTTCGCCGTCCTCTTCCATCGCATCATCAAGACCGGCCTACTAAAGTAAGAAGCTCCGATGGAGCTGGATCCTCGTCTTGGCGCAACTGGCGATAGAGCCTCAGCATTAGCAAATTTCGGCGCGGATGCAACGTCAAGACCATCGCCGGTCCATCATGCCCCTCATGGCAATAGTGCTCTGATACCAATCCACGACGTACAGGATGATCACAACAGTGCCGAGAACACCCCCAGCGCATCGACCGAAAATCGAGATACGCCACAACATCAAAATCAACAGCTCCAGGATGGCGAACACGACGGAGATGGAACCGATCCGAAACGACCGAGGGCCTGTGAGGCATGTCGTGGGCTTAAGGTTCGCTGCGAACCGGATCCTAATGACGAGGGACCTTGTAAGAGGTGCCGGAAGGCTGGAAGGAATTGCGTCGTGACAATGCCAACGCGAAAGCGCCAGAAGAAGACGGACAGCAGAGTGGCTGAGCTGGAAAAGAAAATTGATGCATTGACAGCGAGCTTGCAAGCAAGAGCGGCGCCTGGAGGAGGCCAAGCGCATACGCAAAACCAAGGTCACGGCTGGGGAGAGTCTCCTGGAAATGTTGCGCCGAAACCACCCAACGAATCAAACGTAGCCGCTTCTTCTTACAATAATATGAAATGGCGAAATCCCGGGCAAACTCCTGCATGGGGATCGTTTTCATCAGCACAGTCTCCTATGCTGTCGATGCCGACCGTGGAACAAACAACAGACCGCGCATCCCCAGCCCAGTCCACGGCAGCACTAGCTGCAGCAGCCACTGGGCAGAAGAGGAAGTTTACAGATGGCCGCGAAAGCTCATGTGAACAGCTTGCTACTGAGGAAACACCAGCCGAAGCTCTGGCGGCTTATCTCACAAGGGCAAAGGGTGGCGATATCGTGGACCGTGGTGTTATCACGATGGAGAAAGCTGTTGAGCTATTTGCTCGTTACAATGACCATATGATCTCACACCTGCCGGCTATTATCTTCCAACCTGGTTTCACAGTATCCGAGCTCAGAAAAACAAAACCTATACTGTTTCTGGCCATCATGGCAGTGGCCTCTGCTGAGTCACCCACTATCCAGAAGGTACTCCAAAAAGAGATGAAGCTCACATTCGCGGAGAAGGTGATGCTTTCGGGCGAGAAAGGCTTAGAGCTAGTGCAAGCACTCAATGTAGCCGTGATCTGGTATTGGCCGCCAGAACATTTTGAGGAGCTGAAGTTCTACCAGTTGGTCCACACGGCGGCTGTTATGGCCATCGATATTGGGCTCGGCCAGAAATTGAAGCAGCGCCGTGGAATAGTCGTGCCTGATACCTGGCGTCCTAGCCCAAGTACCGGACCAGGTGGCCAGAGCCGTCGATGGGCACCCCCTGATCCAACAAGCATAGAGAGTCGCCGTACATGGCTGACATGCTATTTCCTGGCAACCAACACTTCTATGGCCCTCCATCGACCGAATCTCATCCGATGGACCCCCTTTATGGAAGAGAGTCTTCATCTTTTGCAGTCGTCGCCAAACGCTGCGCCAACGGATGCTTACTTCTGCCATCTGGTCTGGACACATCACCTTTCCGAGCAAGTTAATGTGCAGTTTGCTCTCGACGACCCAACATTCGACGTCCATATATCAGAAACAAGAACACAATATATCCTCAAAGGCCTCGAAAAGGACCTAAAACGGTACAGAGAGAAGGTTCCCCCTGAGTTGCTGCAGCGTATGTACTTAATGAATCAACAGCTGGAATCGTTCACTGACAAAAGTAGCAACGCTTCTGATAAGTTTCGGCGTTCTCAACTTATACATGCATGAGGTGGCGTTGCAGGCTCGTACAAGCGAACCTCTGCGACCTCCATTCTCAACAAGCTCTCTCCAGGAAGGGCTTGTAGGGGGGGATAGACTATCCCCAGCCCACATCAGTGCTATATCCGTATGCCTCGGTTCTATCAAAGAAATGCTCGGCACATTTCTAGCCATGGACGTTTTCAGCATACGCTGCTTACCTGTGTTCAACTTTGTCCGGGTCGCATATGCCGTCGTTATGCTCATCAAGCTCTACTTCTCGGCCTCAGCAGCAGGCTCAGAGCTAGGCCGCGTTATTGATAAGGAAGATATGCAAGTCGGAAAATATCTTGATAACCTGCTGGACAAATTCCGCGCAACTGCAGCGGATGATCGTTGTCGCCCAGCAGCCAAGTTCCTTGTGGTACTTGTTATGCTTCGCAGCTGGTTTTATAGACAAGCTGAGTCAGAAGCCAAAGAGTCGAAGCCAGTTCCAACAGCTTCCGCGATAACACCATCTCCCTCGCAGTCACAACAGCAGCCTCCCCTACCTGCCAATAATTCGGCACCACAACCTTCTGACCACGCATCTACGGCCAACACTCCACTCCAACTCCTTTCAGAAGTTGCTACCGGAGCGGGCTCCCGAAATCGTGACTCTTCAGCCAGTAGGCCCTCGATGGTTGGATGGGGCTCGAACATGCCGCAGCCTCCGCAGCCCTTCTTCCATGACACCCCCGAAAACAATCCAAGCTCTACCGCCTCCATGCCCTACCACAACGAGCCATTTCCCGCAGATTTGGCTGCTGCAATGGCACCCGCAATGCCATCACTACCCCCCACAGCGGATGGGATGAGCAGCTATAACTCTGGGGATCTTCTTGACTTTGCAGGCTGGGATCTGGAAGGCATGGGCATGGGCATGGGGTCGCAGGGGATGTGGGAAGATGGTATGCGTATTTTCCTCGAGGAGCCCTGGTTTAACACCATGTTCCAAGGCAACCCCCCAGTTGGCAACAATGCCATGAACTTCTGATCCCTCCCATAAGCCACCCCTGCTGACAAAAATAGATATCGGTGGCTTATCTTT